AATGTTTATGATAAGCCCTTTTTTAGAACATACTGCCAGCTACCCAGTTTATGATAAGCCAATTATTTAAAATTTTCTAATATACATATTTGTAACTGTCCTCTTTTGTCAAATATTGTGCCCAAAAAGAAGTAGGACATCATGTTACTCATTGATGTTAGCACCACCGTATAAAGTCAATATTTTTGCATTTTGTATAGCGGTAAATACTATGGTGCTATAAGACATTTTGAAACTTATTGAATATATAAATACATAAATATATATATTCTTTTTCTGAGTAGACGAGCAATACATGCGTAAGTTTGTTAGATCTCACGCTTTAAATAAATTATGATAGGAGCATTATGTTAATAATAAATATAAAGAGAATATTTATGTAGTCATTAATAAACTCAGCAGAAAAACTGAGTATATGAAAAGGATAAAGGGAGACAAAAGGGACGTTGATCTAGTGAGCGGCAGAAATATGGTACAGACGTTACCGTCTTATCAAGAATGTAGTTCTGGGAACTGGCAGACTTGCGTGATGAAATGCAGGGCAATTTGGGGCCAATGATCGGCTTGAGAGGCAGAGGCGGTGGCGATGGCGCCTTTATCTCAACCTCCTGTGAACAATCTTAACTAAATCACTGGCACTCTTTGCTTGTCTGTCTGTTTGTCTATCTATCTGTTGGAACGTCTTCTTGGGTTATTAAAATGATTCAAAGAGTCATACTTTTTAATAGCGTTTGCTATGGAAGTATTAAAGAATATCTAACATATACTTAACGCATAAAAAGAAATTTTATCTTACCTCATTATCTAATACATTTGCAATAACTTCCACAAGCATAGCACCACAGCCACCTGTACTATCTGAACCACACGTTTCAACAAGCAATTCTGATTGGATATAATGTACCATTTTTCTAATTAAATTTAAGCTTGCTTTTCTAACACTGGGGAGCATTGTTGACTGGAAAGTTGTACAAAATACCGGTAAAAGTCTTTTTAAATATACTGGAGCCATTTCGGGATCACCCTTTGGTTCTGTAAATTCTTCTGTTTCTGCTTCTGGTTTTCTATGCTCTTGATTTGGTGGTAACATCCATTCCCCAGGTGATTGTAATATAGCTGCAACTTCTCTATGACCTTCATCCACGCGTTCTCTAGCTTTATCTAGAGGAGTCTTTCCATCTTCGTCTCTAAGATCAGGATTTGCTCCATGCCTAAGCAAAACTTTTGCAATCGCTGGCCTTCCAAAACAGGCTGCATAATGCAAACTTGACGATCGTTGACCTTTATTAACATCCGCTCCTCTATCACATAAAAATTCAACCATTTCTTGTGTACCAAATGCCGAAGCCCAATTTAATAGTGTTTGTCCAACATCATCCATAAAGTTAACTTCAATACCTCCAGAATCTATAGCTTCTATCAATGCGTCTGTATCTTTGGATCTTATGCAATCAATTAATTGTCTATGAGACTTTTCACCTGCACTATCCAAACGTCTTAATCTTGGTAATAATGGCCCTGAAGAACCTCCTGTAGTGCCACGACCAAGAGCTGATCTACCCTCAAACAATAAAACCAACAAAAGATCAACTAGCCTCATAGAATCGAGAGCACATCTTTCATCTCCTTTCAGGGCCTTTTCTATTGCATCTGGTAATTCTGAGCGTAAAAGATCATGAGTTATTGATGGCGATCCTCTACATAATGTAGATAGAAGACTGATTATAGTAGAAACTGAAGCACAAGACTTTGGTTCTGGAGCAGGAGCAGTTGTTGCAGCAGGAGGCAGTGGAGGTGTCTTTTGATTACTGGAAGCTGCTGTGATAGATGTACCAGGCCCTGCAGCGTTTGATAATCTATATGGCAAATTAATTTAGAATATTCATTACAATGTATATAAACATATATATCATAGATGATTAGTTTCATATTTGTTATCAATTCTTACCTATAGAGAAGTTCAGAAACCAATCCATTGCAAGCTAATGGAGCAGGATCAGTTCCTCTTCTGGAAAATCTATCAGCCAATGATGCAAAGCAACGAAGTGCGCCATCCGCCACATGTGCATCCTCATGCCTAAGCAAAGTTGATAATGCTTCTACACAATCGGGCAAGGTTTTATCTTGAGGTTCAACTTTGCCACATAGACGAGTTACTACAGCCATTGCAGAATGTAATGTATCTCGATGAACGCGTGCTCCATGCTCTCTGATGAAACATAATGCACATGGAAGGCCTCCTGCTTCAAAAACAGAACCTGCTTCTCTTGCACAAACGAGTTCTAAAACCTGCATATTAAAATTAAGATATAAATATTATTATAAAATAATTACAATTACAACTAACATGATTACAATTGATTTACTAAATGAACAAAAACTCTTTTCTCCTTATTTATTTATTATACCTTTATGCATTGTTCTGCGAGGTCTCTGCTAGCTCTGGAACCTAATCCAGCACCTGACAGACGACCACAAATCGCTTTTACTGCACCTTCCATAGCTACTACTCTGCGCGTACATTCTGCAGAAACGTCTAAATAGTATGTTATTGCTCGAGCTGTTACTTCTAAGACACTGTCAGGTGCAAGTTCGTCTAAGAAAATTCTACATAATGCAGGCAAAAATGTGCGTGGTGGACAGCTGAAAAGTTAATAGATATTAAAATAGTTAACTAAAACAACTTAAGTGAATAGATTATTGCTTAAAAACATTACATACCATTCGAAGCAACGATCGACATTATCAGACATAAGTAGTAACATGCATAGTTGTTCTAATGCAATTAATTGCATATCTCTCTCATCTCCCTGGCCCATACTGAGCCATTCTAGTAATGTTTCCGGATCTACGTCTGTCATCTAAATACAGATTTATGATAAATATAAAATATCATTATACTTTATGCTAATATAATAAAAGTAATATGATATTAATGAAGAACAATGAACTATATTCTCTTTATTAATTAGTTAGCTGTGATTGATAAGTATAATCGCCATGAAAAATAACAATATTTTATGTTATCGCTTCATTTTTGTTATACAATTTATGTACACACTTTTCAAAGAGGTTATCATAGCTAACTGGTTAAATAACAAATGGTAACTATTTTCCCCGCATGACGAATATACTCGTCAATCACAGTTATCTAGTTAATAACAATAATTAATATTATATATATATAAATTTAAATAAATAAACATTTTTACTGAACATCAGTCGACAATATTTTAAGCAAAAAACAAAGAAAGATTATTGTCAGTAAGATGTTATAAATAGCACACTTTGTTCTATCATTACAAGATATATAGAATTTCAAAATGCTCACCTTATGTCTTTTATAGCACCAACTAAATGGGTTTCAATCTGACGATCTGAAAATATAATATTGCACTATACTATGAAATCAAAAATGACGCAGCTAAATTATCTAATATAAAATTGATTTAGAGGTTCTTATTTTCTTCTTTCTTTTTATCTTGAAAAGTAAAAATACTTACGATAAAAAAAATAAAATAATAAGTTGAAAAAATAATTCGTTAATTATCGTATTTCAAAATTTAACATCTAACGTAACGTATCACAAATAAACACAACTGTTTCTTTCACTAGAAGCAGCAGCTCTATATTAAGACTCACTTTGACAGCTTTCTCTCTCCCGTGGTGTATACGGCTTAGGCTGAATGTTATTTTTCTAGAAAGAGGCGAGGAGGATAATTGAACGCTGCACTTGTTAAATGTTAAACGCGCGCTCCGAATAAGACCCGAACAGTTCGATAAATAAAGGCACGTGGCATTAAGAGATAGCACGATGTCCTATATATATATATATATACATATATATACATTGGTACTTGCCGTTAGAACACAAAAGGGTTGAAAAAAAATTAAACACGACAATGGCAATCATTAGGAATGTTCTCATTCATCGAAATAACGTCTAAGAGGCAACCTTTGACCGCGTTACGTGCACAACTTTTGAAAACGAATCGAAGACGATTATCGGTGTCATCCAATATGCACACTATCATCTAGAACTTTTTTGCTCGAAAATATAGCAAACAACGAAGATACATTACCGTTTCGCACAGTATTCCATCCTTCGTAAGGGGTCAGGTCGCCATCCTTTACGAAACGTCTCGTTTCCCGACGAGAAAACGAATGTGACGACGTACTTGTTCCGTACTTTGTACGAACAAATTTATTGGCAAATCACGAACAAATTAAGTGCTCCAAACGAGCAAGAATATATTCTTATTTTCCGTCAAAGTATTGTCGTATATGTCTCGCCATTTACATGACGTTCCGAACACTTCGGAATCACGAACTAACAGCAGCGCTACCAAGCGTTTTCAATAGCTTTCAACGCAATGATTGCAATACGAGTTTTTCGCTTAGGTGGATTCTCATGTATTTTCTCATTCCCTCTCTCCCACTTACCTAGCCATCACAGATCTCTTTATCGGTAGCAGACACAATTTCATGCCTCTTCATCGCATGATTCACGGTCATACATTAAACGAGTATATATATCATATATATAATGATATGAAATATTATATATATATATATATATATATTTATATATTTATATACTACTCGTTATCCTCATCTACGTTACGATTATGTTCCTAGTTAATTTCTATTATACTTCGATATAATTGAAAATATTCGTTACCTGTGAATAAATACTTTTCAATATCGTCCAACTGGTAACACGCATTACGTGAAATTTCTATTGTTAATTCATGAATTTTAAAAGTCAAATTAATCCAACTAACTTTTTGCATACAAGGCGCTCCTACAAATCGATTGTCTGGATGTGGTAATCGATTAGATTGTTCGACTTGCGCGTCTGCTTAAATTACCATTATTCTCATATGATGAAATTACTCAATCAGCAAATTTATGAATATTTCCTTATGCTATAAAAAATATTTTCTATATGTTAATATAGAAGGATTTAATCATTGAAAAAATATATAAAGAAACATTAATTAATGTTTTTTCTTTTCTTCTTTCTATCTCCAGGTATCAATACAAAATCATTTTCATAATATTTTCTTATAAAGGTTTTGTATATTTATCAAATAAACTGTAATTATCACTGTTCTATTAAACAACAATTTATAACAAAATTAAACTCTTTCTTTTTGTCTTTTTCTACAAGTAAATAATTATTAAATAAAGAAATTATATTCAATATTTATAAAATATATAACCCCGTATAACAGTTGGCAAGTACAAAATTTGTAGTGAGTCTTATTGACAACTTTGTTCTTTTACAAATTTCATACTTGACTATCCAGTATATATATATTTCAAAGTTTTACACCTCCTTCTACTTCCTATTTTATACGGCCTTTTTTCATCTTTTCTAAAACTGAAAATATTATTTATAATTTTATAATAAAAATAAAATATGGATAACATGATTATACACTAGGGAAAGGAACATACCTTTACGCTCTTTTACAATTTCAGCTCTCTTATCTTTCATATGCGTAGGCAAACTGTCTAACATCTTTTCAATAAAATTATCTAGAACTAAAGATCTGTTCATAGATGTAACAAAAACTCGACAAATTGGGCATTCTCTGCGTTTCTTATTCCATACGTTAATGCAATGAAGACAAAATGTATGCATGCAATTTAAAGTTGTTGCATTTATAAATAATTCAGAGCATACACTACATGTCAATTGTTCATCCATTATAGTACTAACTTTGTTCATCACATCTTTGGATGTTAGGCTGTAGTCTTCATTATTTTCTGTTAAATCTATAGTATCTATGATGCACACTTTAGAAGTATCCACAACTTTAAGTAATACACAGCTATCTTCCGTAAACATGCTAGTTCCAGGTTCTTGTAATTTTGGAGGAAAAAAGAAAATAAATAAAATAAAATGTAAAACAAAATATTAAAAACAAATAGAAATATTATTTAAATATGTATCATATATTTTATAATTAAAAAGAAATACCATTTTCTGATCCTAGGGATTCTGATTTTATTTGTTCATCTTTTAAAGCTTTTGTAGTTTCTTTAAGCTTTTCTTCTAATTGAATTTTTTCAGTTAACAATCGCGCTTGAATGGTTTTTTCTTTTTTTATTCTGTCTTTCATTTTATTCTTCCATTCTGTTTGTTCTTCTTTCCACTTTTCCATTTGTTCTTTCATTTTAACTTCCATCAATTCTTTTTCTTGTTTACTTATATCTAGTGCCTTTTGCCACTTTTGTCTCTCTTCATTTAAACGTGCTTCAAACAGAATTTGTTCATTTTCTAATTTTTTTAGTAATTCAGAGTACATACTTTGTAAATGTTTTTCTTGGTTGTTATTGGCTGCTATTTTATTTTCTAATTTTACAATCTGATCCTTTAAACGTTCTTTATCATCTGATACTATATCCCATTGCTCTAAAAAATCATTAAATTTTTGCTTTATCTCTAATTGTTGCTTTTGCTTATTTTCTAATCTATCTTGTAAATGTTTCTTTTGACTTTCTCGATTTTCATCAAGTGTTTTCTGTTCCATCAAAACATTGTTAAATAATTCTTCGTCAAGTTTCTGTTTTTTAGAACTACTTTCTTTCGTAAGGTTAAGAGTAAACACATATTTATAATCGCTATTTGTACTAAGCTGAACAATATCTCCAACTGAAAGTTTGCGTTTGCTTCCTGATTCAAGAACAACATCATTAACAAATGTATAACTAGAACTCGAATCCTTGATAGCCCATTCGCCATTCCCTTCATATCTTATAATACAATGTTTTCTAGAAATTGATGTATCTAATATAATTTCATCATTATCTTTTCCTCTTCCTATTTTAAACTGTTCAAAGAGATAATTTAAGTTTGTTTTTGTTTTCATTAATAAAATAAGATTATATAAAAATTAATTAATTATAAAATAATCAGAAATAATAAGTTATTACCACAGATTTATCGATATGAATATCAGGTGATGTAAACTCATTCTTATTTAATCTCACTAATATAGGTTCCAGAATTTTTACTTCATTATCTGGAATAAGTTTTTTTTCCATGATTGAATTTTCCATTTTTACAAGAAATTTTATAGACAAATATAATACAAAAACATCGAGTATAGGTTATGTTTTTTCGTCAAATTATTATGGTTTTCTTGATCATATATATTCATTTATTGATAATAATTTATACCACAAAATCACAGGTAAATATTTATATACATGTTATTCAGCGAGAAAAATGTTAAATTTTCTTAATCGCAAACTATAATTAATATAAAAAATCAAATAGAAGATTATTTTATATTCTGAACACAAAAATGTTTCTCTTGCTTTTTACATCGCGTCATCTAGTAGAAAAAACTTATATGACGAGTATCTCAAAAAACTGCCCTATCATAGAAAGTTAATTTAATCGTTAAACAGAAACTGATTATATCGACATACCTATAAAATAAATCACCTACGGTAATAAATGACCACTGTCACCGTCGAAATGCTGGCAAAGAACCTTAACAGCTGAAAAAAATGAATAAATGTTCTTAATTGCACACTATTTGCTCAACTTTATTATATCAAATATTTTTTATTTTTTTTTTCATTTTTTACTTTCATTTTTTTCCAAGCGTGATTGCGCCTTGAATTTGTGGTTGCGCATGTGTATAACATATCTCCCACTCATGACGTCACCATTTCATAACTATTCAAAGTGTAATAATTATTTTCAACTAATTAACGATAAATACAAAATATTTGATATAATAAATTTGAGCAAATAGTGTGCAATTAAGAATACTTATTCATTTTTTTCAGTTGTTGCAAACTTCGTTGCTTTGCTTAAAAATAGGAAAAAAAAATTTTCTATTTTCAATTATTAATAACTAATTAAATAATTAATTAATAAATTGAGCAAAATTAAGGATTTTGATTGAACAAATAGTGTGCAATTAAGAACACTTATTCATTTTTTTCTGTTGTTAAGGTTCCTTGCCAGCGTTCCTACAGTTCTCTTATTAATAAATTTGTAAACTGTAAAAGTATTTCCGAATTTCTCCATTAGGTAGCACTACAAAAGTTTCAGACGAGAGATATTTAAATTATCATTAACACTAGATCTACTGAAGGGACAAGTCCAAGAGACTTGTTTGGCATTTTTTATAATCATTATTCATTTCCAGCTCTTTTTTTTCTAAAATTTTATATACCTTTTTCTAATATATGCAAATAATTATATAATTCTTTAAAACAATTGTTTTTTCTTTGCTGTTTTAATGTAAAATTTTATTTAGTGATGAGTCATTTCCAAATTACCATAATTTTAGAATATTAATTATAGTATTATAGGGATCGATATTTGAATTTTGTGTTACCTACTTACATTATGTACATGGAATGATTTTGCATCTGTGAAGAAATACTTTATAAATTACCAAGCGATTAGAAATATCACATTAATTATGTTCATTTACTTTTGTGCCCAAAATGATATTACTTTTATGAAAATATATGTTAATAGGTTAACAAGCAGTATTTACAATTATCTCATCATTACATTAAATACATCTATATAATCGTTTCTTAAAATAGCAATTATTAACAGTTAAAGACAAAAATAATTATGATTATAGCATTTTGTAAATAAAATTTACAATAATAGTTTCATTACGCAACAGATAAAAAATATAGAAACGAATAAATAAATAAAATAAAGTGAACAATATAACATTGAATATATATAAGGTTTTTTTCAAATATTAATTTCATATTACACAGAAGTCAACAAACAGTTCTCACAAGTTGTCTATGGCGTTCAAATGTACTGGGATTTTTCGCGATCGCGTTGCTTGTACCTTATTGTCAAACAGTTAATGAAAATGTATGCTTCATTTAACGGACATACAATATAAATAAAGTAGATTCGTTTAATTTAAAATTAAAAAAAAATTTTATCTATAAACTACTAAAGAATACTATTAAAAATGTGGGTATAAAATAATTCGAAATTAAAAATAACTCTCGTTATTAGATTCATGCATATATTTCGTTTTATTTATTGATAGTATCCAATATTGTAGAATTTAACTTTTTACGGCTTTACGTAAATTCAATTGAGTTTTTAACAATTAATCAACGATAGAATATCAATTTTCACAGGTGTTTTTTCGGATATACCGAAATATATATAAAGATGTAACTGCTGATTAAAATAACAATAGTTCTAATAGAAATAGTAACCATTTTTATAATTTTAATCAAATATTTCGTCTGATAATTTACATTACTTTGAATATGTATGTGCATCTATATTCCTTATCGTGTTAAAAATGTAACTATGTTTCGAATCATTTCACAATACACCATCAACAATGTGTTAATAATAATAGAATAAAAAAATTTTCTTAAATTAAAATAAACAAATTCATTCATTTTGGACTATTTTAAAATTCCATTTAATGTATTTATGAACGTTTAAACACATTTTATGCATGTAATTTTGAATTTTCGCTTTCGTTTGTTAAAAGAGAATTGTCCCGCATACACATAAAAGCGTACGTCCATTTAAAAATTACGATTCCATTGTTCTTATTGTCAATTTGTTATTCAAATGACGATTTAAATATTCAATAATATTAAAACACTTTAATCTTTCGGACACGAATGCCAACTCCAAAGTCTACGCCAGTGAATTATAGTTGACATTTGCTTCTATTGGTTCTCATTATCAGTTTTCATAAAAAGTGCAAAACGTAATCATGTTAATTAGTTGTAAGCTACGCATTTGAAGATCTCTTTCAATGTAATTCTCGAGTTAAATCATTCTAGTCAGTGTCCAAGTGTTTCTTATTGGAATATAATGTTGTGCTAAATAACAGTACTCGCATATTACGTTTAACCTCTTCTTTTATAATAGAGACAAAAATAAATTTGAAAAATCTATACATAATTTTTTTCGTTCAGTTTATGAATTCTTTTCTCTATCGAATGTCTTAAAATGTTTTACTTTATTTTTTTTTTTTTTTTAACAAGCTTGTCTAATCTACGCAAGCAAAGTATTGTTGAATAAAAAGAAAAAAATACAAAATATTTATAAAAAGATAATCTTATCCTCTCTGATCTCATCCTTTATAAGACGAATTATAATTTAAAGCTTAGAATTGATAAACATAAAAAGAAAAAATAAGAGAATAAAATGCCTGGTAATCTCAGTAAGTTTATTAAGCCATTATGCAAGGATTACTCACATCAATGGATAGATTCGTGTATTTCTGCGGCGATGGGTCTCGGATTGCACAGTTTACAAGAATCTCTGAAAATCTATTCAACTGTATATATTGTATGTATATATTTTTTTCTACATTTTTTCATATTTTATACCAATATATCTTTGTACCTTAACTGTTATCACGTTCAGTGATAATATTACATAATTAAATAAATATCATTGACGCAGAAACGTAAAATAAATATTGTCTTTCGTTATATTTTTTTATATCTTATCATGTGTAATTATATTATATATATATATATGTATGTATACAACATAATACAGACAAAACAGGATATAAATGCATATATATTAAAAAATTAATTATAAAAGTAATACAAATTAAAAAATAATAAAATTATTACAGAAATATAAATTTCAATAATATAATAATTATAAATTTATCTATATGAGCCATTTATTTTGAATCTATTTTTGTCTGCAAAATATTTTTTATGACAGCTAACTTTAAGTGGTACATGTTACTACATTTAACAACATACAACTGACAAATGGACTTAGGCTATTTTCAAAATAAACTGCTCATATATGAAACATAATCGTAGGAAATTTAATTAATCTGTAATCTATTACAGGCAAGTTTATTAATTAATCGAAGAAAACTAACAAAAGATGTCATAATACGTACGATATTAGGAATCCTCCAATCTTCAGCATTTCTTTCTATGACTGCATTTAATTATTCCGCAAATATTTGTGCTTTAAAGTAATATTAATTAAATGAACATTTAGAATTTTATTATTTTACTTAATTAAAAAAGTATATGTTTTGTATCTTAAAATATTATGTTTCAGTCGCATCCTGGGTGGTATGAATATTTTGACAGTATCTTTTTTACCTTCATTTTTATCTAATTTAATTACAATTATAATAGAAAAACCAACTAGACGTACTTTATTATGCCTCCATGTGTCAAATATTGTAAGTACATAATAATGTGTAATTATTCTCAATTGTTTAAATGTCATTAGAGTATATTTAATATGTCTCTATATTTTATTTCAGGCAACAGAAACCTTGTTTAATATGGGTGTTTGGAGAGGATATTTTCCAAGCATTCCATATGGACAAACATATATTTTTGCTGCAAGTATAACTATATTACTGTACTTACATCGAACTAAACGTATCAATCAAGACTCTATATACAATATTATTAGGTAATATACACTATATCGTTTTTGACAGTGTGTCAAAATAAAATTTATATATGTACATAATTTACTGCAGGTTCGTCATTGGTCCATACGAACAGTTTCAAAATTGTAACCAGAAAACTAAACATTTACAAACTACTTCCATTGAGTCTTCAGACTCAAATCAAGAATGTAAACGTCATACTTTTAATATTATTTTGAAATCTTTTGAAATTTACAAACAAATAATAAATAATTTAAAAAATAAATATAAACATTGGTCTTGTCCACATCCTCATAGCTGTTATCATTATATATTAATGGTATAAAAATTCAAATTTATTCAATATTTACATATCGAGAAACTTATTTTCTTTCAAATATATGTTTAATACTTTTTTCTATCTATAGAGTGGAACAAAATTATTTAGTTATGGATATGGTATTCAAGTAGCCATTCAATTAATTCTTCAGAGTCAAAATATTTTTAAAAGACCAAGACATATAAAAAATATATTATTTAAGAAACAATATTTAAATATTGCGACATTTCTAGGAGGATTTTCTGCACTTTACAAAGTATTTTTTTCATATAACTTTTTGTAACATTAAAATACTTCATATTATTAATGTAATTAATGTTTCCACAGTTAACCTTATGTTCATTACGAAGAACATATGATAAAGATTCACCAAAATTTGCTATTCCTGCTGGATTGATTGCCAGTATAGCATTTATTGCATTTCCAAATAATACTTTAGCTTTATACTTCATGTGGAAAGGGCTACATGTAATGTTATATTAAATAATAAACATTTCCAAACTATATTTGAAATAATAAAATAATTATTATTTTAATTTTGTTATAGTTAATCTGGAATGAAGGAGTAGAAAAAGGAATATTTCCTGAATTTAAGTGGTTTGTTATTTTTCTATATAGCTTTTCTACAGCAGTACTTTTCCATGCAGCTATTGTAGAACCACAAAATTTAAGGTGTTCTTATTGGAAATTTTTATACAGAGTATCTGGTGGAAGGTAATTTTTTATAATTTCATTCATTCTAAGTTTTCGTAAATTATTATTCATAATATATTATAATTTAATTATTACAGAATAGCAGTAATATCACGTCTTTGTTTAGAACCCTTTGGTATGAATAGTAATAAATATCTGCAAGAAGTATTGGCAAAAACTAATACCACTAATCAACATACATTTTCATTTTAATTAGTTGGATGAAATTAAAAAAAAAATCGTGTATTATATTTTTCTATATTTACTAAGTCAAGGTTGCATCAGGGTTGTTCTTCTATCAAAACGTAACATATTGGTTTTTTAGAGTTGTAACTTTATAATCATTGCAATAACCAAAGTATAAAAACAGATATTTTTACTGATATTTACCGATAATTTTTTCAATTTTTCTATTTTATTACTAGTTTCAAGATATTTTAACCACAGATTTAAAACCGTTATTATTCTGTTGTTGCTATCATTTTAGCAAAATTATACTAAAATCACGGTAGAAATAGTGTTAAATCTGTAAAGTAATCATAAGAGGAAAAGAATACGATATTATAATAATCAGAATTTAAATTTCAAATAGTGTTTGATGTAATATTGAAATCAAAATGAGAACTAGAAAAATTTTTTAATCCATTATAAAATATGTTGATAATAAAATCATTATATAGTGTATATCTTGAAATTAGTATATATGAATTTCATTTTATAGTATGTAGTGATAATAAAGGTGCCTGGACTTTATAATTTTGTATAAAATCAAATTATACTTTTGTAAATAAATATTTAACAGAACGTAACATTTATAAATCTAAATAATAAAAATATATGATAAATATAAAAGATAAGAATGCGTTGAAATATATAAAAAATAAATAAAAAGATATAAAAAAATTGATTATTTATCAAGATACAAATAAGATTATTATATGTATTTATTGTTATCTTTTATTGGGAATAGGCATAATTTTCAATAAATATAAAAAGTTTCTATACATAATAGATATAATTTATTCAGTAAAATATATCTATAAATTTATTCGTGTTCTTTTTCTTATATTTTTGCAGTTAATGACTTATTTTTGCTGTTTAACAATTTTTATGGCCTTATACATTATATCATCCTCTCCTTTATGTCGCTTTCTCTTCAGTCTTTTCTTCGTCCTTAATACATTATCCCAATTGATTTGACTTTGCATTTTCAAATTAGTCTTATCAACAATGCCAGGTATGATATCAGATTCTAACATCAGAACATTGGACTTTGTTGCTATCATTTTAATAGGTTGTAAATATTGTAAAGAATCAATTTGCCAAGGTAATATACCAATTGGACATTTTGTCCAACTGTATTGTGCTATAAAAATAAAAATTTTCATGTATATATAATGTAAACAGAATTATATTATTTCTATTATTATATTAGGTAGATAAGCGTAACATTTTGTTCACTTACCATCTGTTAATTTCCATTGAGTGTTACGAATTTTGTTATCTCCTAATGTTAACTTTATTAATGGTTCTTCTGTTCTTTTAGCTTCACCATTATGTTCAGAATTTACTTTATTAATATCTACGATTGTAAATATTTTTTCATCAGTTTGACTATTAAGTCCATCAAGTTTACTATTAAAGTCATTCAATACATAAATTCGTATTAAGTTCAATAAATATTTCTTTTCATATTCATCAAGTTTTGGTATTACGAGTTGTAGAAAAGATGATAAAAATTTACAAGTAAATATATTTGCATTAATTATAATGTCTGAGAGAAAATGAATATCAGTTAAAAAACGTGGAACTATATTTGATATGTTTAAGAAAAGCGCATTTCTCAAATTTGGATGATTCTTATTTATTTTCTCTTCAATTCTAAGATTTAATATTTTTTGAGATAGGGTTTTATTCGTTTGTCGTAATTTATGTTGCAAAATACAAAACATTTGTTGAGTAAGAGTTAGTTTTACAAAACCCTGAGCAATAGTATTTATCCATAAAGCTGCCATATGTCTTTTATTTTCTGGTTCCTGTTCATTTCTTACTAATGTAAGTAACTTTAAGATCAAAGCTTCCAACATATTAACATTTTGTAATAAGATAATAATATCTTCCCAAAAATGGATTACATCTATTGGTAATTGATCTTCTTCATTAGTTTCCATGTCATCTTTTTCAGAAAATATAGATAGAACATCTGTGGTTAATAAAAATGCTTCACTTTCTATTAATGTATTCAAAACTATTTTTTCTTTATTAATAATTTGATTGTTTCTTCCAAGATATCTGGATATTTCAACTAGAAGAATGGCACGTGCTGCTGATAAACTGTATTTCTTTTTAATCTTAACATTCTTCAATTCCACTACATGTTCAGTATCTTCTTCATCGCTCTTAGTTTGCTGTGTTAATTTAACTGCATACGTACGTAAATCATATAAAGTTTCCCTATAATAATATAAAAAAATATGTAATTTAGAAAATTTTATGTATATATCACCATTTATGATTGGTACTTACTGTAATTCCTTATCTGGTATAAAATTCACTAGATCGTAACCAGCACGAATATATAAACCGATAGCTATCCACAGTTCAATTAAATCTGAAAACGCCTCAGTGTCTTCCAACTCGTTTACTTCTATTACTTCTGCCTTTTTATTATAATATTTTTCTAGAGCTTTAGCCTCGGTGACCCAATATTCTTCCTTCAAACAAAATCCTTATTTTTGTTCCATTTCTAATCAATAATAATCATAAAAAATAATATTATTACTTAAAAAAACCTACATGCAACCATGTCAGCAATAGATTGGCTGCTAATCTCAAAACATCAATGGATGGTAATTCATGTCCATGAGCAGCATCATGCCTCAAATTAACTACCCATTCTGGAATGTTAATTTGTTTAGCGATCTGAAATAAAGATGTTTGCTTGGTATGTCCAATGTTAGAAATATGATTCAGAAATCTCATTATGGCAGTAGAATACATTAGACATAAATCATTCTCATAGTCTATAGGTAATTCAGCATTATCAATTTTAGGAGTCCATTCGCGATCTCTCAGACAAACTTGAAGGATGGATAAAGTACAATCAACTCCAACAGGTACTTTTGGCATTCTAAAAATCTTCAATGTTATTTCTTGGTTTTCACAGCATTTACTTGCCGCAATAATATTTGTTTATATCTTACCTAGCCTTCCACGCCAAAAGTATCTCATATGCTTCAGTCTGTTCATCATTGTTGTTGGAGTAAATTTTTTCGTATACTTTATGCCACTCTGCCCTTTTAAATTGTTAAACATTACAGTATGATATATATATATTTATTATTAATTATTTAATTAATTAATTACTCACGGTGAAAACCACGGTACTAATTTAAGGTCTTCACGTCTGCTGAATATAGCCATTGTATAACACGTGCTCTAATAGTACACAAAAGAAAAAGCCGGGTCTCATGCACATAGTTTATCTTTTGACATTATTAATTTCATTTATTAAGTGATATTATATAAACAAGAAACTTCTAAGAATCTATGATTATTATATATATCTTCTATCTTTTATACTTATACAAAATATAATATTTGATAGAATTATTTCAATCTCCCGTTTAAACGCATTATCGCATTTAAGGCGAGTTTCTAAGCTTGGAACTTTGTGAATGAACTTCACTTAAAATGAATCTTATTAGTTGTTACATTTATACCAATGAACGCGCGTAAGTATTAATGAAGATTTCTTTCTAAATATATTGTAATGATAAAAAAAATCAGAAACAAAAAAGAAATAATTTATATAAATTCAATATGAAATCATTTAAAAATTAATTTTGATAATTTGATTGGATAGTTTTTCCCAAATATATTTTCTAAAATATCATCTCTTTGAAATATTTATTTTCTCTCAATTTAAATAATATTTTGACAATTTTGTTATTTAGAGAAATAATCAAAATTAGTTCTAGACAATTAAGAAACTGTGCAAAACACAATATAAGAAAGACCGGTGAACTCCCAGCTGGCTTAGCTAGAACCCCCTAATGGACATACATCAAAAGCAAAACAGCCGAAAAGCAATGGCGGCCATTGACTGAGAAATTGATAATTTCAATTTGGAAAACTTTGGAAACATGTGATCTACGTGCTTCGATAAATAAAACGATTAGAGGTATATTTTTGAAATTATTTGAAAATATTTTATTAACTTAGGTTTATTCCACACTTGTAATGAATTAATGAAAATATAAGCTCTAAATGTGCTGAGATAGATATTAATTTATTAAACAAATGTGATTCCTTCTAATATTCGTTTTTAATAATCATTTGATATATATTTTTAAACAGATAATGGAAATAAAAATGATTTTAAACTTTGATTATACGCGTACATTTTTTATAAAAATGTTCTTAACCGTTAATAAAATAATATGTCCAGCTACACTAAAAGTTACAAGTTGACAGATTATAAATTTGTAGGTTATAACACTTGATCTATGATCTATGTAAATTCATTTGTAAATGTCAAGTGATTAATTTGTCATAGTATATATATTATTGAATTTTGAACGAATATATTTTATATTATTAGTAATATTTCTTGTTCCTTATTATTTACATTTTTAGAATCAAGTGTGCTTGTGCAACAAAATAATAGTGAAATAAAAAAATCATTGTATTTTGTCTTTATATTACAGGTTTTAATAAGAAGTCTTAAGACATAAGCATGTTATTAAAAAAAATTTTGAAGCAACGCGTTGACCTATGCGTTGATCACTGGTACACGGATTTAACCAATTGTATTCAGCTATATCCTATATCAATTATTACATTTTTGCATCAAATAAATGCAAGCGTATTATATAAAATTTGAGAAATAGTTCAAAAGGTTAGCATTAACCTGTATGTAAGGTATGAACACTGCTTCAGCTTTTTTAAAAAGCATCCTATCTTACCGCTATAAAAGATTATATATATTTTTGTATGTAAATTTACGCTGCATTTTGGTGGTAAATCTTAATTGATATGTGTTTAGCATATAAAAGAATACGCTTTATTTATTGTGTATTATTTCTTGCAAATGGAAATCACTAATATTAAAAATACATGTAATTTGCTATAGGTGTGGCCAGAGGGTGGGGGACTGGTATTGCTTGCAAATATAGAAATGGCACGCAGTATTTGCAGGCAATGGCGAACAAACGAATGGATCAGCATCTAAGTCGGTCAAGCGTTGAGTGGTGGTTGCTGGCAGATGAAGTAGAAAGGAAACACGACAGGCAGGAAGGAGCAAACTAACGAGCGCGTCTAAGTAATGAGCGAGACTCGGCATCATCTTCGCTCGGTTTCGGACTTATACGCAGCCGACGAAATAGAGGTGCTTCTTTTGGAAGAAATTCGTGACTTGGAACCGCCACCCTCTGCATATTCTAAACCTGAGGATATTCAAGACTTCGAAATCGGTATAAAAAACATTCATATTCATTATATATTAATGCATATATTTTTGCTTAATATTTATATGTATACTATTACATTGTTTGCATATGGTTATTATACTTTGTTAATAGCAGGTAGTAGAACAGGGGGGCGAATTAGCTCCCAATCATCGGAACTGGATTCACCAGGAATCCATACCACATTCCATTCCTGGGACTCGCACGCAAACTATCATGATCATTATGGCCATAATGACCATCATAGGCATGGCCCTTCCTCAAATACACTGCCATGGCCACGAACTAGTCATTTGGTTCTTTACTGCGATATACAGGGTCATCTTAAAACAGCTACTGGCGCTGTTCGACTCCTACTACTTGTGAGTGAAATTATATAAAAAAGAAGTCTAATTATAGTAATATGTTTTAAAATGACAAATAATCAAAAATGATACATAATATTTTTTATATAGAATTATCTGATAGAATTATCTTACAGATATCATCCGCAGCTTGTTTGGTTACTTTATGCAGTTCTGGTACTGCCAAAGTCAGTCTTTTTATGCTGCCTCTGCCCGGACGTTTGAGATTTATGATATTTGTCGCTGTTCTCTGTTTCTTGATAACTGCATTACTTCTTTTTCTTGATATTTCGCACGTTATTTATGTATTTCCTTTCAATTGGTCTAGGCTGGTAAGTTGTCTGTTATTATTCATCTTATTTGAAGACTCTCAGATAAATATTATTGTTTGACTTATTATATTTTTAAAATGTTATCTTTGCAGAATACATGGGTATTCACTGGTATAGGCTTATCTTATTCATTAAGCAGTGCGCTATTGGCATACTCCATATGGGAATACCATAGTGGAGGTTGGGTACCGCGACGCACACGTTCCCAATTATCTGCTGCTGCAGCACTTGGTCTCTCGTGTGCTGTTTTAGCATTTGTACTTTCTCTAATACAAAGCCGCAGTGGGTCAAATTATGAGACTCAGGATATTCACAATCACACACCAGCGCCACTTTACAAGCCCGTTGACAACTCCTCCTCTTCTGGGGTGAGTAATAGTAAATAAAATGTTCAATATAAATAAGAATAAAAAACATCAAGATGGAGCATGTTTTATATTAATTTCTGTTTCATAAAATATATTTTATAATGTTACACCTCTAGTTCCTTTTTATAATAATTATTTCAAAGATGTGTTAATAGACTGTTATTATTCATAATGTGAAGACAGATATTAAAAAAGTTATACAATTATTATTTTTATCAATAATATACAAATTAAAATATAGATATAATTTTCTTTATTATATTACCTTTTTAATTATTTTTTATTATATATGTTTAATGAACAGATTTGTAAAAGGACACTATTATATTAAGGAATAGACAATAGTATGTAGTGTGATATTCTGCTACAACAATGTGTGAGTCGTCTGATAGTATTATAAGAATATGTATACGTATCAAAAGCACCTTCATTTGGTAGCTGGAAATATACAGGATGTTCCTGAAATGTGTTCTAAATACATAATATTCATTTCCATAACCCAAATAAATAAAAAAAAATAAAAAGTAAAAAATATAAAATTTTATAATGTCATTACAATAATATAAACTTGTAAGACCTTTGTTAAATTTGCAGTACAAAAACAATAACAAATATCAGACTGAAGTAGTGTTATAATGTACGAAGATTATAATTAAAGTCAAGAGTGATTATCCATCTAGCCGATGTATCTATTGTGCAGGGATAATTAATAACATGCTTTAAATTTAAGTACAAGGCAAGGAGACATGGTATTTTCTGAGCCCTGTTACATAAAGTTTTTCGATTATAGAAATATGTAAGGCTATTAGTTGAAGTTAATATTAGATCAACCGACATTGTAACGAACGAATTTATTTTATTATTTACAGCATGCGTACAACGCGTTTGCGTATAACGCGGGGAAAGTTAAGTAAATGTAAACGATGATCGTTAGACCTATTTCTCAAACGCGACTCAAGGAACGAGATCTGGGTTACCCTTTGACTGACTGACCATATGTTACTGCATGATTAACTTCACGAAAAGCACTGCTGCCACTGGTTGTTATAATAAAACCCTCGTACATATTTAATATAACGGTCGTTCCTACGTTCGTTCTACGTGCTGTGAATACTTCATTTTGATTGAATTTAGAATAGAACATTATTAATATTTATTGATCGTCGATCTGTGTTATACATTGATTATATTAAAACATATTGTTGTTTTTAAGTATATTTAGTTATTATGCACAATGTCGACTAAATTCGTTTACACACACGTAAATCGAACGTTATGTAGTTTTCGAACCCACCAAAGTAAACGCTGTCCATGTAACACGTACACACACATATATATATATATATATATATATATATATACAACATATTTACATAATACACATAATATATCAATCATCATCGCGTATTCATTTTTCGATTAAAATCGCAGAAAGAGCGTTAGTTACTATATTAAACTAATTGTATTATTTTTCAACGATGTATCAGTGTAGAATGAATTTAAATTCTGCAAAGAAAAAACTTGCAGTAATATCAGAAAAATACAGTTATAGAAGTAATAAAACAATTAGATGATGGAAAAAAACTTAAAAGGATGTTGCTTCATTTCTTCTTGCCCACGCATTGTGTTTGAATGATTGCAAACATGATTGAATGAAAATTATTAATTATTTTTCTGGAGATGTGATATAAGCTGTAGTTGGATATATGTAAGTATAAGGTATTATAGAATATATATAATGAAACTCCAAATTTCATTAATTTAATGTCCTTGTTCTTTATTTCGTAAAATTTATTTGCAGTTCAAAATAACGTAAAAAATGAATTATTTGAAAATATTACTAACAAAAAATTGAAATTGCAACAACGAAACATGTAATTTATATAATACCACACATTTATTAATATAGTATATGAAATTGTGTGTATAAAAATTATATGATGATTATAGTTAACTGATAATTATTTATAAGGACTTTAAGATGTTACAATGTACTATAACATGCTAGTGGATGAGATTTTCAAATATGGTGGTTACCTATTTATCTTCTTTAATGAGTTTAATTGGTAAAATTTTAGAATATTGTGTATAATTAGCTCCTAAAAGTTCACTAAAATAATAATTATAATCGGTAATTACTATTGTTGAAAACTTGTATATCATCGATGATTAATGGTAAATTTGTCACAATTTTTATTGCACAAGTGATATACATATTACTTTCAAATTGTTTTACGATATCAATATGTAAAGTGGTTGTAATTTTTGTTTGAATGTAACCGTATTAAAAATTACAATATTACACAGACACATTTGTTTTACGTATATTAGCAAAACTCTTATAATGAAACAAATCACTAGGTATATAATTAACATTAAAGATTATTTATTATTTTAAGTTGACAAAAAAAGTGGTAATTATTAACTTTAGCCTCATGTATACAAAATATTAAACTTGAAATAATACGCATATAGCATTACACCCGTTTTGATAATATAAATTTAGATAGGTCTCTATAACTTAAAAAAAAGAAATATGAAATTGCTAGTCATTTAACATACAATAAAAATAAATAATTATATATTTTATAGATTCACGTTAATATTAAATTTTATGAAATGTTCAAACTAGAGTATTTAATAAAATTTATTGACCTTTACAATTAAGTCTGTAAAGGCAATACTTTAATATCCAGGATTTGCATTTGTTTCAAGAGCCAAATCCATTGAAATTATTTGGACTTATTATTAAATATTTTCTTTTTTAGTAAACCAAAAAACAAATCTATTTTTGTTACAAAAAACGAACGAAAATATTTAACTTTTGATCTTTTTTTTTATATCGTATACTATTTGTACAATTTCAAAACACACTGGATATTACTTAGTAGTAAATTATAAATTATAATATTATAACGTCACGCGTCAAAAATTTAATGCCTTAATGCATTCATAAATTTAATACATTTTTATAGTTATGTAATTGCAATGTGGATATAAATTAAAATTATTATTCGAACTATATAGATGTCAAGAAATATTTTGTTTGAAAATAAAAATCTATCAACTTACATCCAATGATTATTCCAATGATTATTTGTGAACAATCAAAATAGAGATGAATATAATATATGTACGAATATTATAAAATATCTATTCTAGAAAGCGTAACGTGTACGTATATCCTCTAATTTTTTTGACACCTCGGACGGTGTTCTTTCAAGATCACCCGCAATACTTTTCTGTTTCGAAGGTTCAATCGAGTTGAATTGTTCACAAAGATCACCGTCTATAACATTTTTCACAGGATAATAATACGATCTGAAAGAAAGATGATCTCTTCCACAAAGCGGTGGATGTTCCGAACGCATGTGCATCTCGAGATGTTGAAAGAAATCATGATCTTCATGACTGGTAAAAGGAACAAGTACTCCTACTGTGCCATTCAATGTTGTGTAAACTAAACTTTCAGATCCACCAGGAATAAGAGTAGCTTTTTGCAAAGACATAACAGTTTCACCAACATGGAAACACGCGACAGTATCAGCTTTTTGACTGGCACCATTTAATAAACCTCTGTCCCATAGTGCTTTATTACCAGTAGGATCCTCATCAACATCATCGTTAATGCCACTAGCAAGTCGTATCTATAAAAAAAAATATCATGCTTATTATAATATTTGTATTTTAATAATAATATTTATATTAACTTTATAGAGCGTTAATTTACCACTGCAATGTTTCCAAACTTATCAGCAGTAGCCACAGTATCATAATCTAGTACACAAGTTGCTGTAATCCACCTTGGGTGTGTATCATCAGCAAAAACAATTAATTGATTTTCTTGCCGCTTATATCTAACAGCATAAACTGATTCTTGTACGTCACTAACATATATGCGTTGCCCGACAGCATTGATGGAAACAACAGCATTTGGAATGTGCTTATTTTCACATTTGCGTAATAATTTCTTTTTACCCATGTCATAAAGGCGTAGCATTCTGCCGACACCAACCAACACTCGACCTTGATATGGACAAATTGCTAATGGAACTTCATCCAAGACAGTCTTATGTAGTAACTCGACGCTTTTACAATCCGCATTAACTCTGAAGAAAAAAAAATACAGTTTTTAAGAACATATTACGATATAGGATAGTACCAAAAAAAAAAGTATGATTTTATATCAGAACTGCAGGAATATCATCAAAAAATACAGATATTGTATTTATCATCATATGTATATATATGTATATTACATATACATTATATATATTCAACCAAAAATAGAGTAATGAAGAGGTTACAACACTAACTTGTAAGTATAAAGAAAGCCTCCATTGCTGACTCTTGGATTAAGTTGAAATTCTTTTGCAACACCGACTATGAGGAACAACTGATCACCTTGATTACTAAATTTAACCAAACCTAAACTGTAACAAAAAATAGTAATACATATTAAACTCTTTTCTTTTATATATTTAATAATAAATTTAAATATAATAAGTGTTACCATAATGCAGCCAGATTTTGTTCTAATCTATGCACTTCGAAGGTATGTCCAGATGTAGGTGCTATAATTCTTACAAGCGATGCCCAAAGACCAGGTCCAGCTCTTGGTGCACCAAAAACAGTTTCATTAGGTTCTTCCGATAGAAATGCTTCTGCCAATTCTCTGGCAACTGCAGCTTCCTCGGCACCTGCTGCTTCTTGCATTTCTTCTGCCATTTGTAACCTTCTTTGCTGTTTAGTTTCTTCTGTGTATGCATTATGTTCAGTCTCTATGATTGCTATATGCGCAGAATTGACATGAATAGCAAATTTCCTTGGAGTATATTCTAATGGAAAACTGACTTGATTGAATACTGCTCCTAATTTTTCTAGAGCCAAAATTCTAAGTGTATTTGTTGATATAGCAACGATACCCTCTGGACATTGTTCAGAACTGAAGCCAGAGGCAAATTCTAAGCTTTCGTAAGATAAAGGCGTCAAATGAAAACGATTTTGATAATAATAGCTAAGCCATGACCTGCTACTCATAGCTAACACGGCCTGATTACCCTGCATTTTAATTCTAAATAGTTTCACAGGTCGTGATCCTAAATATCGAGTACGCGTATCCGCAAGATCTCCAGAAATAGGATCTAATACGGTCCTTAATAAAACACCATTTTGCAAACCTAAAGAAAGACATTAATATTATAATTTTGTATTACTTAAATTGCTTAAATATATATATGATTATTTTTTTCTTATAAAAATACTTTTCTTTTTTATACCTATATTTAAATAAAGGCTGAATTGTTGTTGCGGTGCTGCATCTTCAGAATTATCAGTTTCTTTAACACCCATTTCTACGATACATAAACTTTCAGCTGCTGCAGGTAGAGCTTGCATACTTCTAGGTGCTAAACAATCTGATGGATCCAATGAAATAATTCTTACAGTATTGTCTTGAAGACCAACAGCTAAAAACCATGAACGTTGCTCTCCAACAGCCACATTTCCAAGCGCCATACACATCACTTCTGATGGCATCTTCTTTCTTTCTGTATATTCATTAAGTTGCCCAGTCTAAAAAATTGATAAATCGTAATTAACGTTTATACTTTTATGCAAATTAGAAATGTCCACTTTTCTACAAATCCACATCGAATATACGATAATAGTGCTTGATAGAAAAGTGATATAATTTCCGCACTGTGTACATCTCTGACGTATTTAAGACCATTCAAAGAGAACAATGGTGCGTTAATATAAACATATTTTATACTAGAATTAGTAACATTTTCTTTACATATATTTATGTGCATATTGTAATTATTATTAAGAAAGGATTTAATACATACAGGATCCATTTCAAAGTAGACCAATTCTCCACCAGTAAGAGCTATTACCACTTGGCGCTGATTTACTGCACATTTCACAATCGTTTTCTTACCCGGTGCCTTCCATTCATTGACGCGTTTGTCGGCTCTAATATGACGAATACCATCTGGATATACCTACAAGAAATACAGAAATTCTTATACTATTTATGAATATATAAGATATATTAAAAAAAAAATCTATAACATTTATGTTTTTGTTGGACGGTTAATACCAAGAACATTCAGTAGTCTCTAAATGTTCCAACAATGCCGTTAGTCCTAATTTTATTCTCGCACCAGAAAAAGACGACCGGCACGTGGTAAACCAGGTGCCGGAGATACCTTAGTGCAGTTAAAAAATATTTACACTAATATGAAAAATATTTACCTGTACTAAAGCATCTTCTCCCAAAGCAGAACAACTGAGCGTAGGAGTAGTGCCAAGAAAGCCAGAATCTGTCACTTCTTCAACAGTTTCTCCGATACTAAGCACAAGAGTAGCATTCACGAAGGACACTATGATGTATGCATCATATTCCTCTGCAATCAAAATCAAAGAGATAATCTAGATTATGAAATAAAATTATGTTACTGAATGAATATTGAAGCGATTAATATCTTCAATCGTGGTTGTGCACGCTCTTCTTAATGGCACACAAAGAGTGGATGGGCTATTGGAGCAAATCAACTCTCATCCGTGCCAGATCAAAGCCCTTACCTTTTGGTCATTCTGTGTTCTGTGGCTCAACCATTAGCGTGCAGGCAGCCTGTAAGAGAGAACTGGTGTTTGATAAGAGTGTATCAAGACACCAGGTTTATTAATATCGTTTACTTAAATTTTCTTTTAGTATTTACTTTTATTTACATTATCAAATTCGCAATACTAACGTTGATACATCTGTCCTTTATCTTTGTTCAAATAAGTTATTAATTTTTTATGATTCTATGCAAAATAATAGTAATAGAAATATTTCTATAACCATTCCAGTTATGATATCTATCTATATACCTTTATTTTATATCATTGGAATACAGATAATAAAAAGAAAGAATCTAGAATTATAAATTTAAAAGATTATTTTGCATAAATGAAGAAATCATAACTGAAAATGTTAAAAAATAAAATAAAGTGTGTCTAAATTTGAAAAGTGAAAATATAATTGTAAAAACCTATCTCATTGATAGATAAGCAATAAATAGCAACATGCAAAGAAATCGTAAATCAATTTATTCATAGACTGACCATCAACTCTTCTTTTAACAGTCCACACTGCGTTTGGATTGCCAGGAAGTTCACTGACTGCCATTTCTGATACTTCCAAACCATGACGTAATACACGAAAAGTAGATCGCGGTCCTCTGCCACATGATATGAACAATTGTGGAGTGTCTTCATTAGCTAAATCAGCAACCTAAAAAATAATAAAATTCTATATAATTAATCAGAATTCTTTTAAAAAGTAATATTAATAAATGTTTGTCATTCTTAGGTTTCACTTCAATTTGTAAATACAAATTAAAGGCGACTAAGAATAATTTTTATTTCGCACCATTCCACAGAGAAGAGACCAATTATCATGTCACTTCTCTACTTAATGGTGCATGTATAAATTATATAAGAAATTATTTATTAACCTGGCAAGCCATAATAGGTGATAAACTATCCATTTCATCAACTAATACTAGATTACGAAGTGGTCTGGGTGCAAAGAAAAATGTATCTCCTTCTTCTAAAGGCATTGCAGAACTAAATTCTGGTTCATCATCGTCATCTCCAAGATGAGCAATTTGATAAAGATAACTAAAAAGAATATATTTCTTATTATAATACTCATTATAAATGTTAGTTCAAAATCTTCGAATATAGCAAGTTACTACTTACTGATTTCCAAATTCAGATGCAACAAATAAGAATCCTGTTTTTAATACGCACATGCTTGTTGCTACAGGTACAGTATCAAAATATTTTAATTTTATTTCAGTAACCATATCTTCATCAGTTTCTAAAGTAATTTTAAAGATATCTCCTTGTTCAGTTTGTGCCAAAAAGAAGAACATACTTTTTGTTTTATGTGTCGCAGAACATACAAATATCATGCCTCTTTCTGGATCATCGAGATCATTTCTTCTTCTTGGTATAGGACAACGAATATCATGCTGATCACCTAAATTCTTATAAGTTAAATAATTCTCAGAACAAATAAGTACACCACTGGGACCATCATTACCACCTGGGACAGACACTAAAAAATTAGCATGTTCTTCTAATGGTTCACTATATTTACGAACAACATGATTTAGTCCAAGATCAAGTTCATATAAAGTTAATGTTTGTTGTGTTTTAACAGCTGCATCTCCTGTAGGATCACTGTCTGCTTCCTATAAGTAAAAGATTATAAAGTAAAATTATATTTAAATATTTAACTATTTTTATTGATAAGAATTATTTTTAAAATAATACATATACATACCTCATAATCAATTTCTAAACAAGCAAACATAGGATTTTCAAAACCAACATCTACACCAACTGTATGATATACCAATGTATTACTTTTATGTGCTTCTAAAGGAGAAGAAATAGTGAGACGGGCTTCGGGATCTCTGTTTAAAATATATACAAGCTTTTGTTTTTCAATGGCACCTACAAAATTAATTGCAAATTAGTTTTTCCTAATATATAATTTTACATTAAAAATTTTAAATGTAAAATACCATCATTAAAAATTATTGTAATCAATGTTATTCAGGTGAAACACGGATTAAAAATGTAATCATTTGGGTACAATATAATATACGTGTAATAGTTTATAAATTGAGAATATCTATATTATATACCTATCATAACAGCTCTGCCTTTTGGATCTATCGCTAAATATTGTCCAGGAACAATTCGTCTACAACCACTTTTGCCAAATGTTTCTTGATGTACTTTCTCAAAAATATTTTTAGCAGAAATATATTCTAAAATAACGATGCGTCCTGAATCAGAACCTATAACTATATAATCTTTTGTTCCGCCTGTAAGTCTAAAGGCCATTAATGATCTTATAATTCCAAAAACTTCAACAGTTAGTAATGTATGAACTTTTCCAGTGTTAGGATCTGGTCTTAAAAGTTCTAAGGACTTTCCACGTGAAACGAGGATTTCTTGCATTTTGCTTCCAGAAAAGTTACCATGCACGGCATGTGTAATGCCTGTAGCACGTTGTAATGTTAAGTTGTAGAGAAACATGGTTCCGGTTAGTTTCTATTAAGAAATATGTTCAAAAGATGCAAATTTTCTTATATTTACAAAGAACCATATCAGCTTCCCATCCTGAAATATTATATATGATACAAATTAAATAATAATCAACAAAACGTTGTATCTTATGCATTTATTTTATATTTTATAAAATAAAACAAAAAAATCTCTAAATATTTTAAAATTCACTATAGAAATAATAAAAATATATTGTATATATTTAACTTAGAATATTATAATATTCAATTAACATTTACATTTATACTAATATACCTTATATTTCTCAAATTATTTCTAAAAAGTAACATACAGAGTAAAAATAAAATAGTATATATGTAATATAATAAATAAGTAATTAAAATTTTACCTTTTATACGAAAATATACCGAAGGCATTTGTCGATGCTGCAGGATCTTTTAATCTTATAAGTTGAATACCATACCACTTCTTCCCAAGCTGTAACGGAAATAGAGTTATATGGACGACTTTTAGACTCAACGTAGCATCAGACGCTTTTCTCTGTAGTGCCCTCTAGTTAATTAAAATTATGATTACGTGTTTTAAACATTTCTAATATTAATCGGAGTATTGTTTAGTATAGTAATTATATATATATGATTTTTTCAAAATTTATCAAATTTATACTTAAGTTACTAATATTAATATATTTATATTTATATATAAAGCTATTATTTTGTATAGAATTTTATAACAAAAGCTTACGTAGTAGTACTGTGATTGGTGGATTTTGTTGCAACGTATCTATTAGTACATACCTATTATTACAAAAATAGTAGATGGCGCTATAGATAGTGTTTTTTTTTTTTTTATATTCTTGTGAACTTATGCATTGTATATATATATATATATATATGTGTGTGTCGTTAAAGTGTGAAATGGCTCCTAAACCCTCAAATAACTATATTGATCTATTTAATAATCTGTTTATAAACACAGGCTTCGTGTATTTAAATATGAAAAAAAGCAGTATTACATACTTCAATTACATATAACTTTGTTATTTTCTGAAATTACTAGTTTCAATATATAATAAAATTATTTTTATGTTTTCCGAAAACGTTAATATGTACATACACATTGTATATAGAATTGATCTTATTTTAATTAATCTTCAAATGCAGTTAATCTAAAATGATAAAGTATGTTTGGAATAATAAAAGAAACTGTTTGCAATATCAATATTCAAATCTTCACATTATTTTTATAAAATAAATGTAAATAATTTATTTCTCTATTTCAGAATGTAGATACTGTTATACATAACTGAAGACCAAATCATAAGATGATTTAATATTTTGTTCTTTTATTTTTTTACTAATCTTTTGAACTGTTTACAATATTAATTATTGAAAGAATATTAGAACATATCATGTAACAATCACTTTCGTGTTGGTTATTAACAAAATAATTTTTAATAGAGATTTGTAGTACTAAAAACTTAAAAATAAGAAGACATACATAAATATTATACACATATTTACTATCTTTTCCATACATGAATTGCGAAAGACCCTCTGTTATCTTGTGCACATAATTATACATATAATATATATATAGTACCTTTCTGACAAAAGACTTTATCATAATGAGAATGAACAAATTTATGCATATGTTTATTAAACTAAATAAGGCATTTTGTGCAGTTTCAGGTAAATGAATAAACATACCTAAAGAAATTAATATATATATACCACAAAATGTGCACGTATGTCTTTAATTAGAATCGAAAATGCAAATTATGGAATGTTTCATGGAGTTTTTAAATATATTAAACATTATAAATGCAAGAGAAATAACCATAAATTTTCACTTATAATAATTTTTCTCAAACAACATGTGAAATAGATTCGTAAGGGCTCACCGAGATCTCTTTGTGAAACCTTGGTTGCTAGTTCTTTAAAAGATCTTTGTGATTGCTAGTTTCATTAAAACATAACACATTGCTGTTACAGAGTATTTTTCACGTCACTAGATAATAACTTTTCATTTAAGTGAAAGTGATATTGATCAAGGGTCGGTACTCCTATTGCAAGAAAATAATTATAAAGAGCGCAATTGTTATTACAAACATTGGTGATTCATTATATTTTTCTTTAGTGATGAATGATCACACAATGAGATATAGTTTAATTATATTGTTCTGGTAAAACGTAAGAAATATCATCCCATGGATGGCGATAAAGTCCTTGTTTCAATCTCTTCTGATCCATGTAATGGCCTATAATTGTTATATAATTAAATGATTGTTCATATTACGAATTTTACTTATGTCATAATAGAAAATTATTAACATTACCTATGAAACCTATACTTCTGCCAAGTACAAAAAGACTGTTTATAGCTCCAATTTCGATGTATTCTTCCGCTTCTTCTCTTGTGAAACTTCCACTGTTTCTTAACATGTCAACAAATGCACATGCTATGATACCATCGACATTAAGAATTAGATTAGGCTTTTTACTCGTAGTTATTTTTTCAACTTCCAATGCATATTCCACTAATGGCTTAGCTGGGAAGTTCTCCAAAACAAATTCTTTGATAAGCTTAACTCGCATATCTGGATTATTTATAGATTTTATACGATGTCCAATACCCATTATAAGTTTGCCTTTTTTACGAGTATTATTTACAAATTCTTGAGGATGCAGACCAGCATCATAGGCTTCGGAGAACATTCGAGCAGCTCCATCCAGAGCTCCACCGAAACGATCACCCTGTTTTATTTAATCAAATTTCTTATAAAATATAATTATATTTTTATAATATTTACATTGTTTTATTAGTAATTATTATTATTACTTACTATAGTAAGGAGACCAGAAACAAGAGAACTAACTAAATCTTTGCCTGCTCTGGCACATACAATAGTATTGTGAGCACCTGAGACTGCTGGTCCATGATCCGCAGTTAACATGAGCGACATTTCCAAAAATTTACAATATGTAATGGGTAAACAACGTTGGAACCATAAAAGGGAAACAACACCACCGATTCCCACATTTTGTTTCAAAACTTCTGTGACGGGCATTCCAGCATATAAAAGTTCATGACCACGTTCATCACATATGGATGTCATAAATGATGCTGGTTTTCGAATTAAACCAAGTTCCTACATTAATAAAAAATTCAATAAAAAAGATAAATAATAAATATTATTTGACTTTTCATATTGCAACATTAAAAATTTTACCCTAGCCCAATTGTAATCCATAGGTACTGTCGGTGGTGGAACCTCTGGTGCTGGAACGATCGTTCCATTCTTAACGAGTTTTTGATAAACAGTCTGAATGAGATCACCAAGATTATCAAAACCATCAGGAACGTAAGCACCAACTGCTTTCAAAGCTGCATTTTTAGCCGATGCTGTTTCTACATTACTGTTGGCAATGGAACCGGCATGTCCGAATTGTACTTCAGAAGTAAACATACTCGCACAAGTGCCGATACACCAAGCGATCAACGGTTTAGTGATTTTTTTAGATTTAATTGCTTCACATACTTCATATTCTTCGATGCCACCTACTTCACCGAGAAGTACAATAAGCTTAACATCGGGATTACTTTGATAACGCATAATATGATCCATGAATGTGGTGCCTGGATATCGATCACCTCCAATCGCAACACCCTCCAATACACCGTTGGATGCTTTGGAAATGATGTTGTTCAATTCATTGGACATACCACCAGAACGAGAAACATATGCAACACTAAAAATAATTGTTTCAATAATATCCTGATAGACACATAATTGTACGATATATTAATATCTGAAATTACCTTCCAGGTCTGTACAATTTACTATGAAGAATATTATCTGTCATACCGCCGGTATTACCGATTTTGAAACAACCTGGTTTAACACCACCGACTGTAGCCGGCCCAATAATTGTCACGTTTTTTTGTTGTGCTAATAAAATAATTTTCCTAGTCATATTTTCAGGTATACCTTCCGCAATAATTGCTATCGTTCTAATTTGCGGAAATTGTAATGTCTCAACTGTACTATCGTATGCAGACCTTAATGAGGCAAATGTTATCATGACGTCAGCATCGTTATGTTTCGTCATCGCATCTTTCATTTGTTTGTACACGGGTATGAGAACCTGGTAGAAAAGGAAAAATATTTTTAAATGATTAAGAAAGAATAAGTATTAGTAATCCCAAAATAGCATTAGTAAAGTAGTTCGTAAATATTACTTCTTTATGACCCCAATAAAACTTCTGTTTGTGGTCTCCCGTGAATGGATATACCATAGCAGCTACGGATGGCTCTGATCTTCGACAAACGAAATCAAAATCTAACATAGTTTGGACGGCTCTGGTTTGCATTCCCCAAATAATAGCTCTAGTTTTATTAGTAAATAATTGTTTTGGTTTTAAACCGTCTACAGTGTCGCTTATTTTTAATTTTATTTGTTCCGTGACAGGCGTAGATGTAGTACTTTTTGAAGGAGCAGAAGGTCCAACATCTTGACCCGAAGGTAACAAGAAATTTGCAGTTGAAAATTCTTGAGCTTCTGGATCAGGAATTGGTTTTTTCCCTAAAGCCATAGCACATATAGCTGTCATATGTGTTTCCGGACCAAATACATAAACTGGAATACCCAAACGTCTTCCCACTTCGCGTATAATTCTACAAAATAAGTGACCATATTTTCAATAAGTTTGAATAATCAAAGCAAATTAGAACAGGTGATTATATAACAAATAGATATCTACCTTAGGCCTTCTTGATAATTAGGCCCAGCTCTTCTGACGAATATTTTTATATTATGTTCCACGAGTTTAGGCTGATATCCTTGAAGTGCTGATACGATTCCTTTAAACGTTGCTGCTACATTCGTAAAATTAGCAATTCCTCCACCGATGATTAACACTTTTCCTTCTGCGCGTTTTTCCTTTGTCATTAGACTCAAAATAGTTTTAGCATATTCGTACGTTTGTTGCTCAGTAGGTGCACCCGAATATTCACCGTAATTTGCCAATTCATCGGCCGCACCCAAATCGCAAATCGTATCAGAATATATCACTGAAGCGCCTAAAAGATTTGAAATCTCAGTATAGTTCACCAACATGTGAGAAATAGGAAAAGGCAGCGACTTAACAATCACAATTTGGCTAGAATGAGCCTGATTAAATGACACTGGTGTACACTTCTACTGACCACCACCAGCGACCATTGTCCATATACGTCCATTTGGGTTTAAAATAGTCAATTTCAGACTAGCTCCAGATTTAGCATCTAAGTCTGCTATGTAGGCCTCTTCAGGATATGCATCCCGTCCAAAAGGAGGTGGATAATCGATTTCACCCCAATCTGGTTTGCATATGAAATCGGCGGCTGTGTCTAACTTAGCAGCGAGATCCAATATATAAATTTCATCATTTGTTACTACTAATGGATTTATTTCTAAATAAGTAAAACATAAATTGACATAAAATTTGTAGAGAGCTTCTACGAAGGTTGCGATCGTTCTGAAACAAAATATTCGAATATTATT